TTTGAAAATTGAACAAGTGGCAGATTGCAATTGGATGATCGGCAGGTGGTCGTAAAATTTTGGCAGGCCACTGTACAATAATCTACCATTCCAAAAGCTAACGAATACCGCCATGACTTGACTGTTTCTATAAATTGCCGGATTCACAAGCAAGCGCGTATCATCTCAGTTAGCACGTTTACAGCAACCATGCTTACACGTCCGGAATCTCGAGTCCCTTCCTTACCTTGCTTTTTTCAATCTTCTTACACCGTCAGATTACTTTTGTATCTGCCAACATTATGTTACCACACCCCACCATTTGTCATCCTAACAAGGGAGGGTGTTGTTGTGACGGTGGCACAAAGAAAATAGAGCGACTGGTATAAATAGTACAGTAGTATCATGAATTTGTTTATGACATAGGTTATCCTATAGTGAGAGCACGTTGGAGTTACTTCTTTAATTATAGAAAAGATAGGCATACTGATGGTTTCTTGTTCCACTCTTAAAGAGTGAAACACGTTGATACCAACAGTAAGATAATCGTTGCCATTGTAATGACTATGAGTATTCTAAATTTGGGAGACTGTTAGGCTACCTAAAGGTGGACATACTTCAAAATGACAGCAGTGTAACGTAGCGTACAGTACAAGAGCATATGACTCACACAATGTGAATACATCATGCATGAAATTTTTATTTTTTGCCAAGAAATTTTGACACATTATGAACTATGATATATTAAGAGAGTCTGCAGAATGTCGACGCATTGATCAATGAAAGATTACGTAAAAAAGCGAAACAGAACATAGAACCAAAATGCAAATATTTTCGTGCAATATGGCAGTTTTTATTTTTTTAAAATACTGACCGGTTAACAATCTTCAGCGTACTGTTCCAATTCTAAAAGCATAGTGTTTAATAATTTATTTTTGTTATTGTTATTCTCTGTATAATTCTACATAAAAATATAAATACATGTACGTTTAATTCATTATGGTTCATCACATATGCAGTTATTATTATACCGTAGTGTTACAAGGTTTATATCGTACAAGTCATCAAACTGGATAGTCTGAACTTTTGTTTGGGAGAAGCTTGCTCAATAAAAATGCTTTAAAATCATGATGGAACATTCAGTTTATTTATTATTTTAAAATCTGACAATGTGTTAACGAATTATGCTTATCTTTATAATACTGCCACCGGATCAAAGAATTAATTTCTCATGCATTTAAAAGATTACGTGTAACAATTATTATATTACATGTATCTAACGCACAGACTATAATTACACAAACAAATTATCGGAGAAGACAATTTTGCCACGCTCTATATTACGTACACCGACGCAAACAAAGTACCAAATAGCAAACTACCACAATACAAAATCACTTTACCAAGACTTAATACAATGCATGTACTCAAACATATAGACAATCAACCTGTTCCGCAACTTTGTCAAAATGATAGTTTAATAGAACTTACACTTTTTATTACGCGCGTCACTTATAGCACTGTTGGAGGGGCCAGTCCAAAACCATTGCAATATTGTTTTGGAGAAAGTCCTTTACAGCATGCAAGGTATGCTTAGGATTATTATCTTGTCGGAAGTGCCAATTTTTCAGAATATGTTTGACAACTAGAGAGGAGGGGTTTTTTTGTTTAAAGTTATGCAATAGGAAGTAAAACTATTATTATATTTGGTTGTAGTCCAAGATCAAATCATTAACACAGTGTCTATTATAACAATAGAAACATTTGGAATCATCTCAAAACTTTAGAAACATGTGCTCCACGAAAAATGCACATTACATGATCAAATAACAATGAATGTGGGCTATTATTATACCTGATAAAGATCAGAAAGAAAATGGTTGTCAGAATATTGAAGAACGGAAATTAAATGAAATGAGACCTTTTATTTCCTCTGTTGTAACATTCAGTATAAGTTAGCTTAATAAAAGAAATTAATCCATGATAATAATGAATGTACAAAACTACTTTAGCATCAGTCGTACACTATAGGGACCTAGATCGATATCATTACATAACTTTCAGTGATAATTACAAAGTGCTGATGATTAGTAATAAGCAAAAGAGTCCAGTTTGTGAGCCAAAAGACGTTGTGACATAATCACACAAATTTTATCAAAATATCACTTGAGTTACATTCTTGTATTAACGTCCAAAAGCGAAATGTATTAAATTGTGTAAAGAGTAAATTTCTCCTTCAGCACGTTGTGCCACGTTAGTCTCTACAACTTTAGTCTCTGCCATCCGTCGTCGTTGCTCACTCCGAAATCGATAATTCTTCATCAAATTAGTTAGATCTTCTTTGTGAGCAAGGATAATGTCAAGCCCAGTTTTTTCAGCTACTTGGATGTAAGCACCGTTAGTGAACTTTTTAGCCACTAGGATGCCTACAGAATATTCTGGGGGAAAGTGAATAAGTGCACCCCTCAGAGCTTGTACAAAACCTGAACCTATTGTATAGTAGAATAATACGTGTCAACATTATATTATAACTGTTATTTCATACATAAAGATAATTACCAACTACATCTTCATCATTCTTGTACAAGATGCCATAATGCTTGCCATCCTTCTGCGCGAGGATATCAATGCCACCATCATCTCCTCCACTGTAATTGTATCATCATAGTATAGTCAAGTAAAGTACTTTTACAGCAACAAGATGTGGCATGATACCTTCAGGTATATTCAGTAAAAATTCTCACCCTTCAAATAGTCTATACCCCTCCTTCCACAAGATTTTTTTTACATCTCTAAGTTGCTTCTCTTTTCCAACAAGTCTTGCCATCTTTTAAACGTAATATTGAAAGAATTTAGGTTAATGTCACATGAGTACCGAATGTAAGAAATGTAGTTAATTTGCCTCTTATCCTTTTTATCACCGTTTAACGTTCGCTATATTCGACTCTATACCTACTGTGCAGTGTTTGAACTATTCTCCTCTATTAAACCATCGTGCCTCTCGTTTTCCCCAATTTGACCTTCAAACGATTTTACTTATACAGCACAGCACTAACCCAACTAAACATCCAATTGCCTCTCTTGAAAATAGCACCGACCCAACTTTGACTATCCTCGCCTTCCAATAAACGTATATTCACAGTTTGCTTACTTGTTTTACTTGTTGGATGTGAACTGTATCCTCAAGTTTTAGAATTTTTTTATGCAAAAAGCAAAGTTATTTTACATCAAGGTGTGAAACAATCGGGACTACGATTTACAGCCAATCATCGATCACATTATAGCCATTAATCAGATGGACAGTATTCTTGTATCAGTAGCTACGTTGAGTCTTAAATGTTCAGATTTAAGAATTATAATAAACGACGCTAATCCTTTAGAGTAATAAATAAAGTCCGTTTTATTCTCTTTAAAGTAATGTACGTAACAAACGTAAATGTTTTATATAATAAGCGCTATGACGAAAAAGTGATACAGTCGCACCTCTATTTAAGAACCAAGTTGGGACCATAGTGATTTTTGAAAAAAATGTTCTTATGAAGATGTGTTCTTTTATAAAGGTTTTTTTTTATAAGTTTAATAATAATTGGGTCTTTGATGCAATGTTCTTGTGAAGAGATTTTTATATGACGGACGTTCTTTTATAGAGGGTTCTTTTATGGAGGTGCGACTGTAATAATATGTCTATATAATATTAGACAAACAAGCTTGAATCTTAACAGCAAACCTTTAAGAGGCAAGTTTCTAAAAGTTGCAAACGTTTTTATCAGTTTGCGCAATGGGTGGCACGCAAAAAAGCCTGTGCTATCACAGTATTAGTCTCCTACTGACCAGGTTTTGCAACGACAAAATAATACTATCAGGTCTGCTTATTCACTGCACACGCCTTTTATGCGGGAACTTTTTACTTTGTTTGCCCGACAGTTCATTTGCCCGACATTATTTCAAATTATCCTTTTTTGGGTAGTTTTTTGTCGGGCAATGAATTGTCGGGCAAACAATTGTCGGGCAAACAATTGTCGGGCAAATGAACCGGACTCTTTTCCAACAATGTTTGAAGTATTGGTAGTATGTTAGAATTCGGAGAGGCGTACTTTATATTAACAACTGAACCGACTGCGTTATTAATACTTATTTTTTGATGCGTTATCAAGTTTAACCCAAACTCATTAGGATAGTGTAACGTTACATGTGGTTGATAGAAAGGACGTCGATTTTTATTAAGTTCGGGAACTTTGCTGCGGTTAGAACTCCTTTAGGCTTTTTCACAGATCATCCACAGTATAATGTCCATAGATTTTAGCGCATTATTTTACAATGTTCGACGACGTCTAGTTACAGTACAGTATATCGAATGGAATGGAATGCATGTCCATGTACAGCGTAGCACAAATTATATGGCGACGATCTGTAACACGTCAGCTGAGAAATCGGCTAGGCTTTTTTTTATTGTACTCTCTTCTACGAACCGAGCTATTGTTGAAGTATGGACGACCAGCATCCAGTATTGGTTTGTATGATTGATATATTTAATATTGTTGTCAAATAGTAATTTGTGGTTTTACACACACTGCAGTTGAGTCTTACAGCTATTAATATTCTTCATCAGAGTTTCAGACAACCATCATCCTCTAAAGTCAAAGGCAAAGGTAGACAACTTGAAAATGCAGAGATTGAATTGGAGGATCTTATTGTCTTTGAAAGTGATAACAATGATCATTTATTTGCCATTGCTATGGATTATGATGAGAGAACAAACATAAACAGCTACTATAAAAATCTGGATGCAAATCAATTAAGAGAGCAATTGAATGCTTTGCTAGACTCAATTAGTAATAATAAAACTAGCCGGAGGCATCACTTGATCAAGTTGCACGAGCTATTATTGTCAGCTGAGACTAGGTTGGATGGTGATCAATTGGGAAGCATATTGATAACAGTAGGTACTGGCAGTACAGCATATGGTATACATACAACAACTACTAGCATGGAGCTGGAACTGCAACTCAGAATATATGTATTAGCATTGGAAGCTTGTGGCAGAATAGAAATAAGTAAGGGGTTACAGAAGAATTTGCATGAACATCTTGTGAAGTTGTCTGAGATTCACCAATATCATGTCAAAGTGTTACAGGAAGGCTTCAACAAGAATTATACATCTAAATGTAATCCATACAATGCACAGAAGGCTGCAACTCTTTTAAAACAAGGCATCAAAGTTCAAAATTATAATATTGATTTTATGTTGGTACATCTTCACAATACTCTTTATGCCATGACTAATGATGGAGCAATTCTATTTAAAATTCTTAAATCACTAAAATCTATGTTTGCTATGTTGGCTGGAAATTTTCTTGGGTTATATGATATTATGACAAATATTGATGATGTTATTTCTGCTGATGCTTATAACCAAATTCACAAAGCTTTAGATCCTCAATTTTCTGTCAATCATTGGTACAGAGACTGGAGATATTTATATAGTACTTACCAAGCTTTTGTTGAATGGTCAACAGTTCCTGTCAATAAAGACTTAGTAGACAAAGGGGAATTGCTTTTAATAAAATATTTGTGGAAATTTGGGGATCAGGAATGGATTAAAGCAACTAAGGAATCAGAACCTGTGTTTGATGACTTGAAGCCTAATTATAATTTAAAGCAAATTGGCCATTATGCACCAATATCATATCCATTTGCTTTATTGTATGGGATCTTGGAGATTGTTCAAAATCTTGTGAGTTTTACAAAAAGTACTGGTACCTTAGCTCACTGTTATTATCTTGCAAAGTTAACACTTGATATAGCACCAACAGAATACATGCAGTTTAAAGCAACAGAAGTCTTGTTAGCAATCCATAAAACAAAACATGATATATTTTTTTTTGTGGAGGATGAATTGCTCCAACATTTTGAAAGTGCTACATCTTTGAATCAATATCAGGGTATCAGTGAAAAGTTTCAAGATATTAAGAAATATTTTAACAGTACACATACTTCAACCAATATTAATCAAATAGCTGGTCAAACTGAATTTAATATTAATGTGTCAAAGTCAAAAAAAGGAGGGAAGGCACCATCTGAAGAGCTCCTTGAATCAAGTCCACATGATTTATTAGTTTTAGACATTGTTGCTGATCATCTAACATGTCCCTTCACAGAAGAAGTGACAGGTGATTACAGAATACTTCCATGTAAACACAAGATAAGTTTCTTGGCATTAGACACATTTATGAAGATGAACTATAATGAACTGAAATGTTTTTACTGTAACATAAAAGTTGATATAAGTGATACCAAAAGATTACCAGAATTACCTATCTACAAGGCCTTGTATGAGAGATTTGTTGAAGCTGGACATATTCAACCAAAAGGCAGAATGGCAGACTTTGCTACCATTGTGGAAAAACAAAATGTTGACAATGACAGTATTGAAGAATCTGTTATTAGGAAATCAAAGTTCTTGAATTTATTAAAAATGAAACCAAAGAAATCATTTGTACAAAAATTGAGAAGACCAAAAAATCAGCATCCTACATACAAGCAAGGGAAAAAGGCTCTTGATGCAAAACTGTATAATGATGCAATTATTTGGTTGGAAAAAGCACTTGAGCATTATCCTGATAGTTCAACAATTCAGTGTGACCTAGCTATTGCATATATGGGAAATTTAGATTATAAAAAATCTTATGACTATGTAACTCAGGCTATCAAAAATAATCCAAAAAATGCTAGAGCTTGGACCTGTCGTGGGGAATATCATATGATACAATCAGAATTTAAGCAGTCTCTTAAAAATCTGGAACAATCATTAGATATCAAACCAGATGATGCATATACATTAAGTTTGAGAGGAAAAGTCTTTTACATGCTTAATCAGTATGAGAATGCATTAACTAATCTTCATAAATCATTAGAGCTTGATCCAAAGAGTTTAGTTACATTGAAATTACGAGCAGAAGTGTTCCTGAGTCTTAAACAGTTTGATGATGTGTTAAATGATCTCAAGTTTTTGGACATTGAACCATGTAATGCCACTGCACAAGTTAATCTTGGGTATTGCCATGAACATGGAATTGGATTAGAGAAAGATGTTAAAAAGGCAGTTGAATTGTATGGAAAAGCTATTGAACAAGGAAATGCTGATGCACACAATAGTCTTGGTCACTGCTATCAATATGGAATTGGAGTGGAACAAGATGCCAAAAAGGCAGTTGAATTATATGAAAAAGCAGTTGAACAGGGAAATGCTCAGGCACAAAGTAATCTTGGTTATTGCTGTCAACATGGAATTGGAGTAGAAAAAGATGTTAAAAAGGCAGTTAAATTATATGAACAAGCAGTTGAACAAGGAAATGCTCAGGCACAAAATAATCTTGGTCACTGCTATCAATATGGAATTGGAGTGGAAAAAGATGCCAAGAAGGCAGTTAAATTATATGAAAAAGCAGTTGAACAAAAAAATGCTGGTGCACAAAATAATCTAGGTGTTTGCTATCAAAATGGAATTGGAGTAGAGAAAGATGCTAAGAAAGCAGTTGAACTATATGAAAAAGCTATTGAACAGGGAAATGCTGATGCACACAATAGTCTTGGTCACTGCTATCAAAATGGAATTGGAGTAGAGAAAGATGCTAGGAAAGCAGTTAAACTATATGAAAAAGCTGCTGACCAAGGAAATACTCAGGCACAAAATAATCTTGGTTATTGCTATCAACATGAAATTGGAGTAGAGAAAGATGCTAAGAAAGCAGTTAAACTATATGAAAAAGCTGCTGACCAAGGAAATGCTAATGCACAATTTAATCTTGGTCATTGCTATCAAAATGG